TCTGTCTGCACTGAAATGTCCACCTCAGCTTCCGCCATCTGCCTGGTCCCCTGCTTCCAAACTTCTTCAGTTTGTGGATTTAAAGGTATTTCGGTGGCATTTGGTCCCCTGTATGAATTTACTACGAATAAACTTGATTTTTCTGGTCACGTCATCGCAGATTTTTTAGAAACAGGCTTTTTCAGAAGTGACTTCAGGGAGCCAGGTTGCCACTCCACTGTCACAACTGAAAAATATGACCACAGAGTGCGTAACGTTGCTGATATCCTTGGAGCTAGTGCTCTCTCCAGGATGGGAAACTCCTGGCTTTTCAAGGACAGGGCAGCTTGTGTCCCTTTTTAAGAAGCTGCTTGTAACTTTGACTTAGATTTAAAGCGGACGCGGCGATTCTTCACTGGGTTCTGCGAGTCTGTAATTTCTCAGGAGTCTCGTATGCCTCTGCCTAGGCACAGACCGCGCGGTGGAGCCTGGCTCTGCGAGGTGGGCTTAGTGGTGTCGGGCCTGGGGGAGAGTTTAACGTCTTCACAGAATTTTTCACAGCTGTGCTGGAGCTCAGGGCAGGGCAGCCCCTGAGCAGGGCAGGCTGGCAACGGCTTGCAGTGTCACTGCTGGAATCTGACGAACTGGAAACCATGCTTGGTTTTTTCCAAGGTTTTAAGCAAAAATGTCGTGGCAATACGTATTTATCGTATTTAATATCATATGTACTATAAATATATGCCCTATGTACATTTACATAACCGTATAAATAAATCTGTATAAACTCATAGCATCCCTGTTGCTAGTGCTTTACATTATCACTGATCTTAAAAGAATCTTACCATAAATGAAAACTGTCATGAATAAGCTATAAACAATTTATTTCAAATGTGCTCTGACTCCTCTAGATAGGTTTTTGTTTGAGAGTGACTTTCATGCAGCCTTGCAATATTAATTCCCAACCTGACATTCTACTACCACCCTCACTCAGCTCCATATATCCTTTACCCACAGTGATGTTTTAACAACTTCACATGTTTAATAGCAGGTTTGTGAACAAGGCTTTGTAACACTTCTCCTTGGAGAGACGCATCCAGCCATGGAACTTATTTAGGGAAGGAAAGTCACACTTTAGGGAAGGAAAGTGTGACTTTCCTTCCACATGTGACTTGACTGTCTCACTCTGACAGATTTGATAGCCTTAACCCTGAAGGCTTTAAAACATTAGCCTGCCAAAATAAAATGAATTGTGATATACTTCACGCGTTATCCCTGCAGTGTCGTAACAATACCCATTTGTTACTGGACCATTCTTCAGGCAGATGGGTTCCCCTGTCAGGTTCCTTGTGCAGCTGCATAACCACTTATGAGGGGAGGGGGCAGGACAGGGTGGCGAGGAACCTGGACTGCCAAATGGATCTAAATACTGAATACCAAACCACAGCCTTAAAGACAGCTCCGGCTCCATCTTTGCTTGCGCTCAGTGATACTGCTGCTTAAATCCCCAGTAGTCCCCATCTCTTAAGCCACTTGTCCCTGCCCTTCTGCCATCTCCCCCATTACACAGGCACAGTATATTTGTGTGGCTACAAGATGAATTGAATCAGAAAACTGACTGCCTGGAAAAGAATGAGTCAAAAAAAAAAAAGAGCTTATTTTCCAGCTGGATCAGGACTAGTTTCCTCACCCGATAAATGCTGTGGCCTGCTGCACGCTCGTATCTGACCAACGGAGGGGGTGATGCAGGGGCAGTAATAAGAAATCAGCAGTTGCTTAAATTGGCACTTCTGCCCCCAAAAAGCCTGCTGAGTGGTAGCCATGGTGACAGGGAGGGGTACATCGATTCTGTTCCCTGCTAGATGTGTCGCTCCTCTGTCAGACGGCTCCTGTCCTTGCTGCTGGAACGGCTCGGTTGCTTGTGAAGCACCTGCCGAACTACTCGCACATTGCAGCTCAGCATATTCAGAATAAATAAAATCTGTGCCAGTTTACTTATGGTGCCAGTAGCCTCAGGGGAAATACAGGAAGCCAGAAATCATAACTAAGCAGAGCGTGTGGGGGTTAACATGTTTGTTATGAAAGCTGCTGTCCCTTCTTGGTATTTGTGCTCCAAACATTAAAAAAGCAAATAAAGTTATTTTCTTACCCTAATGATTTTCATTGTGCTGATAATGTGTCACTCACGTATGTGTTTGACAATAGCAGGCTTAAAAATGAATGGTATCTAGCCCTGATGGAAGAAATGGGATTTCACTTTTGTCCTGCTCCATGCACAAATTTTTCAACTGCTTTTAAACTATAAAATTCTTTACTTAAATCCTTCATCATGATGGTGAATGACAGGGTCTTTGTTTTAAAAATCTTACAGTTGAAGACATATGTAGAGAGTGAGCTGGGGTTGGAAACAGAATGGAAAGTGAAGGGAAAGAAGAGCAAAGAAAAATTTATTTTGGCTGAACATTTCTGCAAAACCCTTGGGGTGTTCTATTTTAGTTCCAGCTTTCGCATTTATCCATTAGCATTTAGTTTCAGACTTCAAGTATGTTTTGAATACATATGCCGAAATCACTGGCAAAACCCAATTAAAGAAGTTTAAAAATAAAAATTATTTTCTTAATTTTATTGCAATGCCAAAAGGTTTGAAAGTGTAGAATTACCTATGTTTGCTTAGGTTTATTTGTCTCACTTTTTAAGCTTTTATTTTATACATATCACATAGTTACCTTGAAAGAGATCAGGTTTTGCTTGGTACCAGTAGCATCAGCCAGTGGTGCTTGCCTCTCCAAATCTGCTGTAGGCAGAGCTACAGGAATGTTCTCAAAAATGACTGACCACTGAAAGAAACCAAACCAAAATGACTTGCAGTTAGGATAAAATTATGTTTCTTTCTATATGAGATCAGAGCCAGGCTTAGCAAATCTTCGAATTCTGACAAGAGAGAATTTTTTTCGTGATGTGACGCTGCCTAGAATAAAGTCATAAGCTGAGAAGCCTTCATGGATATGAACTGTAGACATGATTACTGAGAAAGTAAAAACAAATAAAATGTAAAACGTAAAATTGAAACCCCAGAAGGTAAAATCATTCTCTATTCTACACAAATTGTACAGGTCACTCATGTTCTGGTATGCCTCAATCAAATTTCAAGAATCTGTCTTTATTTGGATCATGTCAGAGCGTTTGTCCTCACCACACTAACCTCACACGTGCCACTAGCAAAGATCAGAGTAAGCATGATCAGTTTGACCCTGAATGTGTGTGCAATTCACATCAGGCAGATACCGAAGAGGAATTCTCTGCTCGTCATGAAAGTACTGGTCTACTGCTCTCCTTTCCTAACTTAGGCTACTGATGTTTCAGAGAAAAACAACACTTGACTGCTAATAAAACAGAGAACAAATTGGCTGATGGCGTTTGATGGGAAATTCCTTCCTGACCCTACAGGCAACTGATTTAAAGAAGTAAGTGTGCTATGTAAGCTTCCCCATTTCCATGTTGCAGAGCAACTGGTGGTGGTATTATTAATATCAAGAGCAGTGAAAGTTCTTGCTCCCCTGTGGGCAGAAGAATAATCAGGATGGAGAGGATGGGAAGAATCAGGAGGATTTATTTCGTTCACAAATTTATAGGTATCAAAGCAGGAAGAGACACTGGAGTTATCTAGACTGGCATTCCCACGAGCATATATTTTTCCCAGAATCTAGCCCCACATTTAATTTACAAAACCCGGCTGGGGTTGTGAAGGTTGAGGTGCATGCAAGAGACAGCCATAGCCCTGGGAGAACAGCCCTTTTCTCTCATCTAGTGACTGATCCCTGTTTACATATGGAGCTCGCACCACACTTACTCAGCAAAATGCTAACATGCCTCTGCAGCATTCCCACAGCAAGCAGAAAAGCCCAGTACCACAAAAAGACATGACACAGTATATATGTTCCAGCTGTTCCTGGCTGTTACCACTCTGCTCCCCCCTGCAGACAAATATTTCACTCGCTTTCCATTCACAAGGACAAATTCAGCAAAGTCACAGGGGATAATTCAACCCCTTCTCTTCCTTTCAGTAGCCTGTCCTCACCATACAAATCAGGTCTAATAGAGGAACACACAGATCATCAGAGCAACATCATTTGTTGTTGTTTAAACAATTAACTACAAAAATTGGAGCCTGACCACTGGCACAGAACGATGCCGAACCTGTCTGCACTACACTGACAAATATATTCTGCCCGACCCGTGCTGCGTACTCGGTCACCCACAGGCTCTCAGCCGCAGCGGGACCCAACGGTCAGATACCTGCTTTCGAAGCAGGAGCCACTGTGAAAATAAAAAAGAAAACAGACAGTTGAACATTGCTGTGGTTTTGCTCCAGGAAGTATATGAACTATGTAAGCTGCATGTGGGTATGGCCTTTATTGTTATGGACAGGGCAGAATCTAATTTTACCAAAAGCTCTCATGACACATAGGGAGAACTCTGTCAATC